CGACGGATAACGATCGATTGGTTTTTGATGATCAATAACGCCAGTTTCAGTGCCAAGTGTTTCTCAGCAGTAAATCTCTACTGCTAAATACGTAATAAATATAACTCAATGCAAATATAATAGAGAATATAGAATCTCATATAATGAAGATATAGAGCATAATAGACAATTATAATAAATGAGCAACATGACGAATGAAGAAAGCGAAAAGGATATCATCTCCGCGGTTAGGAAAAAAAATACTATGTTCTAGATGTATTGACATTGCCTTTAGGATACGTCACAGAGAGATCGAAGATTATATCAGTGGAGGATGGAAATATATTTCTTCCTGGACAATTAGGAACGCGTAGGACGAGATATGAATATAACGGAAGGAAGGGGAAGAGGAGCTTGTGTCACGGAAATACTCATTGTCAGATCGATTTCTTTAATAAGACGCTGGAAGATGCCAAGCCGGTGCACTCTCTCTTGGATGTTTTCTTTCGTTATTTCCTACTTCTATCTACTTTGTTTAGACGGATTCTAATCTCATTAACCATTCTTGTCGTAAAAGGAAAATTTCATTTCAGTTATGTTACAGACATTTTACTTATTTGTTTTTTTTTCCCCCTTTCCTCTTTCCGCTTCATGTTTTTTTCTTTCTTTTCCTCTTGTATGATTCTGTAATGCACTGTCTCTCGCTGTTAATCGTTCATCACTGGTAACAATGCTCTTCATCCTTCGTATTACTTCGAATGAAATTGCATTCATTATGTCAATTGCTGCTCTGTCATTCGATGAAGAACTTCCGTTCTGAGAGGTCACTCTTCTTGATTTTTCGCCGAACAACTATTGTTGTCTTGCGACGAGTATAAAAAAATGTCAGCATATAAATACTGTTTAATATTCCTTGTGCTTATTGTTGTAATATTAACACGTATACAGTTTTTATAAAATGGCGATTTATGTATATATGGTAATAGATTAAGTTTTTTTGATAGAAAAAATATCATTTTAGTTTTTAACAAAAGCGCATCAAATATATCTATTATCGACTAGTATAATATCATTAAGTAATAACGCGAAACTTTACAAGTATTGATATTTACTAAATAATATTTTTATATAAAATTTTATCTAACGGAACACGTTCGGTTTTTGGCGGATTATGAGAAGACTGAAATTCAATCTTCAATGACAGCTCGGATGATTGATGTTTGCGAGGCAGAGGTGATCCAGAGCGTCTTTGTCGATGGATCGAGCAAACGAATTTGCGTAGCTACGGCCGCAAAATCCACCTTGCGGATGCTGTTTCTCAGAAACAAAGTGGTAGCAACATCGCCCAGGCCTCAGGGGCCAGACAGATTACGTTGACGACCGATTGGAACTGGATGATCCGCTAAAAAAAGCCCTCGCCCACCTTCTGTAAAGAACCACTCCCGCCTATCGCGTCTGCCTGCCACGATTACTTTGAAGTCATATCGGAATCTTCCGACTTGGTTTGCTTCTCGACGGATAACGATCGATTGGTTTTTGATGATCAATAACGCCAGTTTCAGTGCCAAGTGTTTCTCAGCAGTAAATCTCTACTGCTAAATACGTAATAAATATAACTCAATGCAAATATAATAGAGAATATAGAATCTCATATAATGAAGATATAGAGCATAATAGACAATTATAATAAATGAGCAACATGACGAATGAAGAAAGCGAAAAGGATATCATCTCCGCGGTTAGGAAAAAAAATACTATGTTCTAGATGTATTGACATTGCCTTTAGGATACGTCACAGAGAGATCGAAGATTATATCAGTGGAGGATGGAAATATATTTCTTCCTGGACAATTAGGAACGCGTAGGACGAGATATGAATATAACGGAAGGAAGGGGAAGAGGAGCTTGTGTCACGGAAATACTCATTGTCAGATCGATTTCTTTAATAAGACGCTGGAAGATGCCAAGCCGGTGCACTCTCTCTTGGATGTTTTCTTTCGTTATTTCCTACTTCTATCTACTTTGTTTAGACGGATTCTAATCTCATTAACCATTCTTGTCGTAAAAGGAAAATTTCATTTCAGTTATGTTACAGACATTTTACATAATGATCGCGAAATTCCCGATTATTTCTATAAACTTTTATCGCGAGATGTACATATAAAGATAAGAGAAGCAGAAAACATTTTTTTGAATAACTTACTATTTATTTTAATTTCTCTTAAATCTCATTTTGTCAAGAGCAATTTAATTTTTTGATGTTAATATCGTGAAACCAGAATGTCGTTGTCATGCGTTTTTGTCGTCATCATCATGTATCTGCGTCGCTAAAGCGTAATTAGCACGCAAGGATTACGCCGATAGCAACCTGTGATAAAGATAATCGAATAACGGCCCGCAAATTACTTTCCACGTCCGGAAGCGACGTTGATAATTAAATAATAATCTTATATCGGACGTAATTTGATTGCTTGGAAGATAAACGGGTATCAGATGAAAATCAGAAAGAAAGAAAAGAACGACAGAATGAAAACAATTCTAATCAATAATAATAAAATAACTCAAAATTTGTCGGTAGAGGTAATTATTAGTAAAAGTCATCAGTTATTATTACCTAGATCTATACTAACAAATTAAAAGCAGAGTAGTTTAAATAAGAAATATTTTTTAAAATGCTTAAAGAATCTTGTCTGAAAGACGATTATAATATGGCTGAAGGTTTAAAAGATACCTAAAGAAAGCTTTAAAATGCGAACAACTTGATTGTGTCCGTCGTTTTCTAGCCGATAAATAAATTTTGCATGCGAACTTTGCGACGTGTCGGTCGAATCGTTCGATGCAACTACCGTGTCGGTGCGTAACGGCGGATGTGGTGACGAGGGTTGAATTTGGGACCTTGGCGGACCGAAGGTTGGTCGATGAGTCTTCCACCACGCCTTTTCCGCGTATTCGTAATCACGTCTGGCAGTTTCCTTGAACAAACTGTAAGTTCGCTTCATTCAAATTTCAGGAGATAACATTTCAGCGAGGGCGATAATGACATGAACCCCCGTGGATGTTGTCCATATGCATATAGATATGAAACATTAAATAGGCATTGCAAAATAAGACAGTTACGTAAATATTAAAAAAGAATTATATATTTAGTTTTCTGTGAAAAAAGAAATTTTTATTTAAATAATTAATGTATTATATTTTTTTTTTAATTGACACGCCATGTATGACAAAAATATTACAGTTAAATGTACTCATTCTCCAGTTTATCTGAAATAAAATACAGGTCTCTTTATGTTTAATTACTTATAAACCAGTATCGTAATTGAGCAAATATTTTAACATCTATATGCACTCTTTTTACATTCTTTAATGTGTCATTACAATTTATCTTGTGAGCAAAGAAAAAATAAAAAGATATCCTTCTGATGACAAGGAAAACTGTGACATTTCGTATTCGTCTCGTAGTAAGGCCACTTCGGTTATTCCATGATGATGACAGCAACGGTGTCGAGAAAGAGAAGAAAAAATGTAATAAAAAGAAAAACTTCTACACACCATGAATGCTACATCTGTAGTCTCTTGATGGTTATCAAATGCAAAGACGCGAACGTCGTTCGAGCAAGTCGTTTGAGCAGCTGGCTGGTTCGAACGAATCGATCGTTTTTATACGCCACGCAGAACGCCACTTTATTACTGTTTGACGTGCAAATATTTTATTTTTATATTGCAAATTTTGATTTCTAACATGTTATTTCGCTTGCGCTTTTTTCTGAATATATGTGAAATTTAAAAGAAATTAATAATTATAACATAACAAATTCAATTTTACTGTCATATATATTTTACCAAAATAAAAGCCTATAATAACTTTATCAAAAATTATTATAATAATTATAAATATTATACTTATTTATTTTTAATTATACAATTAATTAAAATAAAGCCAATTTTAATTAAAAGTATACAAAAATAGTTGACGAAAAGGACTTTCCTTATTGTAAGGCATTCTTATAATAAGGAGACATAATTATTGTCGTTCCTTGAGAAACGAGGGCTCTTAGACTGCTTGAAGCTACGCGTAGTACATTAAATTAAGTCCTCGTCGTTTACTTCCTTAAAGTCGTCGTATTGGAATATCTTATTATGAACATTCGCAAACAAGAGTGTTGCAGATATTAAAATGTAATATCAATATTAAAGTCATTCGAAGATATATATATATTCTATGTTGTTAATTTATGATTACCGGGACGTTTTAACGTGATTTTAAAATTTTTTCTTAGAAATATAGCCTTTTACGATACAGTCCATATAATTATAAAAATCGCAAGAGAGATATTTTTACGGATTGCTCCTGTAAAGAGAAGATTGTGCCAGCATCCTTTATTGAACACCGCCCTGTGCGTTACCGTAATTATACCGGAGATCCCCTTTTGTGGCTCCAGCAACATCAACCTTGGCTTTTCAAGACAATGAACCGTGTCTCCGACCAGAAACAGGGAACATTCTTGCGTAAAGTCCGCATCATTCTGAGAGAGAGAGAAAATCACATCGCGTAGCTTGCCAACTTTTCAATTTCGAAATTGGACGACTGCTTCAAAGTTGCAGGAGGCTCGAAATTCCCAATGGAGAACTCGAATGAAAAGGATGCTGGCCCATTCTAAGTACGTGGCCTAAATTGTAAATGCATTATCGCACTTTACTGCGTATTTTCGTTTATGTGTATAGAGAGCATTCGGTTTGGCGTCTGTTGCAACATCGCATACATAATAAGGCGATCTAATTTTTTTTTTTTTTTTTCAAGTATAATTTAATTAAAATATCAAGAGTATATTTTAATTAAATAGACTTCTATCGGGTATAGTATGTATATGCGAGTTGTGTATTCAAAAATATAAATATCTGCAATTTTATCAGTGTCGAATCTAGTTTTTACCGAAACAGTGAATAGATAGTATTATTATTCGATAAATGAAATTTTTATTTAGTTACTATATGCATGACTTCTGATCTGTTTGTTTCAGTATAGCGATCGATTCACGCCTATTCTCCTGATAGTCTCGCTCGCGGGGATTAAAGTATGCAGTCCAGATGGAAAAGTGAGTATTAAAGATGCACATGTACATTTGCATGTACATGCACATTACTTTTGCAAAAAAGGTACTTCGTGTTTGTACGTGGCTCTTGTTATCGAAAAACCGGCTTGTCGTTGCCCACGGCATTTTCCAAGACGGAGCTTCATTTCCTGAAACTCTGTGCGAAAAGTTTGCCTCTTCTAGTAGTAGGCACGACTGCACTCTATTGCACACTTTATCGCGTTACTCTCAGACACCAAAACGAAAACAAAGTAACATAAGAAATAACTGCATTATTATTCTTGTTATTTTTAAATATTCTTAATTTTAAATATTTTTTATTGTGATTTTTAAATGTAAAGAAAGATATTGCTGCTACGAAAAATGTATTATAATCCACAATTATCTCGAAAGAGATGTAAGTGAGACAAAAATTATTTATAATCTGCATCGCATCTCATAAATATAAGATTCAAAAACATATAGTCTCATAAGGATCTCTCTCGTTAAAATGAGTTAAAAGAGTTAGCGACGAAAAGGTAACACACAAGGGTGAGCTTTTATGACAAGATGGCATGACGGAAGTTGAATCGCAATGCAAGAAGCCTAATTTTCCGCGTTCTTGAACGCCAAGTTCGATAATCCTCGTGATACTTTGTAAGATCTTCCTTTCAAGCCGACCTTGGGGCGCTAATCTTTTAATGTTAAAGCCAGCGAATCCCCTATGTCTTTTCAAGCTTTTCTCACTTGTTATATTTCTGAAATCTTTATATGAAATTATATGTGTAAATATATCTAAAGATAAAATAATAATATTTGATAAAATAAAATAATTAAAATGCAAAAAGATCTAGAAAGAGAAAGTGAATCGTTGTGATCACGCAAAGATATATCGATTATTTATATTATTCATTTTTAATCTGCGCGGTGTATACAACAAATATAGGAAAAAATACAGAAAAATTATTATAAATCCAAATTTTATAGACATTTTGCTCTAATTCGAAAATTAATACAAAAATATTTAGACTTTCTCTTTGAATGCAGCTAGATATAAAACGTCGCGTCGCGAGCAGAAAGGGGGGAGGGTGAAACGAGAGTAATCTCGCTCTGCTGTTCGTCTTTTATTATTTTCCCGACTTTAATTGGAGGCCCGTAATCCTTATCGCATCCCTGCCAGTAATATTTCGAAGTCGGCTCGACATGCACCCCGACCACCCTCGCGCGATCCATACTTGCCGTGTTCACGAACTGTACAGAACATATCGATCCTTCGAATTAGTATTTTATTTCGACGGCTTCTCTTCTAAGCTCCCGCTTTAATTTTCTACCTGAAAAAATCCTTACTTCCTCCTCCCACGATCTTCGGTAAGCGCCTCTTAAAAAAGCGCCCCGTGAAATGCTTCTCGTGGGGAATGAAGAACAAAACATTCTCTCTTTTTCTCCAATAAATTTCATTTGGTTATATTATTACAATAATTATTATTATTGACAATATTTTTAAGTAATGTTTCTATATATCTAAATCTATAAATTATCTGTAAATGAAAATTTGAAAAGTCTGATCAAACTATGTAATAATGAAATAGTATGTTTAGATAAGTCAAATAAGACTCTATTCAATAAAAATAGTAGTGTCACGAGTAGTAAAAAATTAGATTAACTGAAGTGTTTTAATCATATAAATTATGCAGTTTATCTTGTTTTTCTCTACCGAAAATTTATCTATAACGACATGTATTTCACGTCAAGCATATCTCTTCACGCTCGAACTCTTGTTACGCAAAGTCGCGATTATCCTAAATCGTTCGTGCACCACGAGAAGTTTGTTGATGGACGCGCGATCGTGCGTATAATTCGCTAGAAAAATTGACAGCCTGCAAAAAACACCCTTACTCTTCTTTGACGCGCGACAATGAGAAAATAAGAGGCATGTTATCCTGGTGATCATTGATTTACGGGGAGCTAAGATATCAATGAAATGCACGCAAGGGGGATGCGGTGATTGTTGAATAAACGTACGATGACGAATGATGCCAATTTTGACGAACACGAGAAAGAGAGAGAAGGAGAGAAAGTAACTGCTGGTAGAGCCGTCACGATCGCGCAAGGGGTGTATTTACCCTCTATCTGTGGATTTATTCGTGCATACATGAAACAGCACTCCGCGATGATACGCGTCTCTTCCGCATCTCTCACCCACCCATACCAAACAGTGTCCATTGCAACGTTTCACTGGTGCCACCGAGAAGGCAGGGCCGCCTCTAACGATTCTCCATTGCTTTAGCCCCATTAAAGCCTTTGCCTCGTCAAGCGTTAAAAAATTTCTATGATCCCTCCGGATGTGTACACCGAAGTGTACGCTTCCACGATTTTACGACATTCAAGGGGCTTAGCCCAAAATTTGCTCTTTATACACTAAGCGAACTGATTATTCCGCTTTTGCTTTGCAATATATCGCTTTGTCTAGATTAACGATATTTTTAGTGTATTTAATTCTCTATAATGAGAGAATTATTTCAAAAACATAGCGTCCAATGATCAATCGTTTTCAGCAAGTTTTATAGATTTGCAAATTTCCGAAAGTATCTTTAAAGTAAATATGCACATATATGATTATATTTTCTCAACGTAGTTTGCGGACTGTTATCGCGAAGTAAAATCTCTATGTTTGATGCTGGTAAGATAAACTAGAGAATAAATCGAATCGGTTGCGGAAACTCACGTATGGAAGATCAATGACGAGCGGCTCGTGTAATTTTTGAACATGTACATTTGCCGCGATCACAGGATATGTTTATCTTTTACCTGCGGATTTACTCGTGCATACACGAAACAGCACTCACGCAACAGCGCGAATCTCTTTTGCATATTCGCCTGCCTTTCTCTTCAGCATCAATAGCATCTATACAGACTACCTTTCCTCGATATTTGTCACAAAACCGATAACACATCGCTTACTAACACGCAAATACGAGCAAATTTTCAAGTTCAAACTAAAACGACAAAAATGATGAGAAAAAATGTAATTTTGATTTTTTTCTTTTTTAATAAAATTTTTAACATAAAATGAGATTAATATACAAAGCAGTATTAATTTATCCACGATTAAAGACAATTATATATAACCGCACGCGCTCATATACAATCTTGGATCATATTTAGAAAAGAAGGCCGAAGTAACATCCGGAAATCGAGAACTATAAAGTTTTTTACTGCAACCAAGAGCTTAACCTAAGCCTGTCTTAAAATTTTTATCGAAGCCGAACTCAAAATCAAACTCTTAAAACATTTATAAGTTACCCATCTGCGCTACAGATACGACTGAAAAATATATTTAGCACCGTCTGTGGCAAGCATTGTTACTATTTATGAGCGTGAATATATGTTCGCACGTACACAGGTGAACCACAGTTTAACGTGAGCTTATACATCGAATAACGTAAAAAATATAATTCTGCGATAAACAATTAAAATAAATTATTGATGAAAATTTATAAGATAATGAATCGTATTTTTATTTTTAGGATTGTATATCACATTAGAAAAAAGAAATTTCTACGACATTTATTTGATATTATCAGAAATAAATCTTGGTTTATAATAAACAGATAATTCTCTTGGTGCATAAAATAGTTTTACGTTTGCAGGCGGATTCTGATTTGCTGAAAATCTCCGATTGAATATTCTTGAAGCAGGACAATAGATCGCATAGTAAAGGTTCAAATAACCGATGCAAATAATGTAACAATATATTGCAAAGACGCAAAAGCGAATAAGATATGAATATAAGATATAAAGACGATTGGTTGGGCAGACAAGAATAACGACGTTTGTCAATGTCTCTCAGTAGAATGTGACAAACTCCTCGACGAACTCGACGAAATCCTCTCTAGAATGTCGTTTGTCGTACTGAGAACAGCGATTGGTATCGTGCATAGTTGCTTCGAAATAGTTGGTCCACTTCTGTGCTACAAGGCGATCCTCGACTAACAGTAACAACTTTATACGCAACTATGCCCGAGTGAACCGGTTCAGTCAGTACAACCTCGCGTAACGTACTTCAATCAAATTTTTAACAAATTGAATTTTCCAAACACATATCTAAGTCGACTACGCAATTTTATGCGGTGTAATTCAATTTGTGATTGCATAATAAATCAAATTCCGATTGTACAAACTGAAATAAATCGACTAGATCAACAATCAATCGGTCCGTGTCATCAAGTATATATATGTATATATATATATGTGTGTACAATGATTTTTTTAGGATATGTAAGTTTTACATTAGTTATTATATTATAATCATAATTTTTTGCTGCATTTTATAATAAAAGAATAAGAAGACCAATTCAAGCAATATTTATCCAAGAGGCGTAAGTAAAAGCAGTCTTTTACTGAGCTAGATCATTTATATCCTTCTCACGTAGAACTTTACTACTTCGAGTAAATGCAGGCATTATGAAAAATTCAGTATGAAGCTTGATAGAATCGCGAAGTATCCATACCGGAAAAATTTGCTCCTACGAAACGATCATCTTTTCAATCGCCAATCTACTCCGTCCGCATGCTCTACCATGCTTACTTCTGCGAGAGACGAATTTAAGTGAGTACATCATCTTGGAAACTTAAAGATAAAATCGTGTTTCTCTTTAAGATTGAGAATTTGAGTGCAATAACAGAGCTTAAGTCAAAGGTGTTACTTTGAAAAAATAAATTTTAAATTTTAAAGATGAAAAATTTTAGCGACGATATACTTTTTTAAATCACTTAACAACTCAAGTGGGAAAAAATTGCAAGCCGCAATGCAGAGCTTCTCTCATACACCGAAGGAACTTTACAATTAGTACTGCATTTATAGTACAGTATGCACGAGTATAGTATCGCTATACAATGGACAGAAAAATATTAATAAGACATGCGAATCATGATTATAAATATAAATGCTCAAAATAAGTAATTGCACAAATCTAATAATAAAATATTGCGATCGAATAAAGTGTTCCTTCGAGGACATAAATTTCTTGGCTGAAATATTAGCCAAATATTTTGGAAATCTTTCTTAGAGATGAGAAAGAGAAGGTCTCGCTTATTGAACGTGTTTTATTTATACTAACTCTATCAAATTTAAAGACAGCATTAAAAATTTACCAAAATAAATCCAGCAACTTTAAGTTCAACGAATTATGGCAATAATATACGTTATTTAATTCAGTTATTAAAGAAATTTATACATTATAACAACGCATTAAAATTGACAAATTTATATCTTTTATTTATCAATATTTTATTCCGATGACAATTTTGTTTTCAAAGCTCTGAAAAAAAATAAATTTTTTCTTTTAAGATTTCTATTCAAGTCTCTCTGAAACTACGATCGAAGTCAATCAAGACAGACTCAAAAGATCAAATTCGCGTCAAAGCTCATAGAGATCGCATCACGAATCTCGCGAATGAAGCCTGTTGCGTCGGTAAGTCATTAAAAGTTTCAGAACGTTAACAGCTAAAGACATCGCAAGTTTTTCGAGAGGTCAGTAATTGACAACTCTTCGTTCTTTTTAACTTTTATCACGTTAATGGAATCATCATATAACAACGCAACAATTTGAGATACTTGAATTAATTGTCTTATTAGTGGTGCTATTTTTCAATTACTGTTTGAGAGCTGCGTAAATATTAAGAGTGACATTAATTAGTTTAATTTTAAGCTTTAGCTGACATAGTTATTGTTTTTAAAAAATTAAGTCACAAAACTTTAAATAAAACAACAAATTAGCAATAAAAAACCATTAAATTTCTGTATGTATTTTATTTGATATTGTTCTAATCGTCTTGTGCCATTTTAATATACGTAATCTTGTGCTAAAAAATATTTTTATGTTATAGCCCTATTTGTATCATTTAATTTTCTCATCCTCAATTTGCTTATTTAATGGTTGCTAATCCGCGATAAGTGATATTTATGATATCCTGCTTATGTATAATCAAGATGCTAGTTTCTTGCACAGGTCTTAAGACAATATTTAACGTGCACGTTTCACGGCGAAATTGATTTAGACGATTAAATCATTCAACAGAATAAGAGCAATAATAAGACGCTCGTAAATCATTTTTGTTTGCGTTCAACATGAAGCTCGTTCTCGAAAATATGTTACTTTGGAAATTGTCAGTGTTAGAATTGTTAAAATAAATTATTTTTTACTTTTGCGCTAACATACATTATAAATAAAATTATGAATTCTAAATATCAAATATTATAATATAATAAAATGGCAAATATTAATTGAATTACATCTGTATATAGATTGTTATAGACTGCCTCTTCAAATGTTTTTAGGCGCAACTCAAAATTATTCTTTTTCTTTCTGTTGCAGTGCGTGCAAATGGCGCACGCGTTAAGACGCATCTCTTATGCGACTTGTGAGCCGCAGCACGCCCAATTCAGCTTTCTGGCACGAGAGCCCAGAGCGCACTTTAGTCTACAGTACTGCCATTCCTTCATCACCGAGTCTGCAGAACAGGTGAGTAGTAAACCTGGATACACATTATAACGTCACTGTCACACGTCAACGTAACATCAAATATTCTTATATAAAATCTCAAATATAGCAAGACACACTGACCGTCACAGAACCCGATTGTCGCCAACATTTAAAACTCATATAAGAATATTTGACATTACGTTGACACGATGATGATGTTATATATAATGTGTATCTAGCTTTAGATCTAACTTTCTCTTTGCTACTTTTTTCTTTTGCAATGTATAAAATATAATACCGGAGATCTGAAAGCTATATTCAAGAAATTGTATAATAAAGCACCAATAAATATAAATCCGGTTATATAAAGCATTAGATGTTAAACATGTTAATAATAAGCGATCTTAAAAGTATATATATTAACGCAGATATATAGCGTGAAAAAAATATATAGCAGAATCTGTTAATTAATTAGTACCAAATTATTTCAAATAATCGGGCTAATATAAATCGCCGAAAATAAGCCGGGATTTAGTCTAAGATATTGTACGTGACAAGTTGCCCCTTGCAGTGGACAACCGCACACGTCTCAAGTGGAAACTGGAAACTGTCTCGACGTTTAAAGCCGATGGATTACTCATTTTATTCTCAACAGCTCTCAGAACGTTTAGGATCAAGCCATGTTGACAAAGAAACATTTATTAGCTTACATAAGTATCATATTTTAACTTATTTAAAATCTTTTTAAATAAAATTTAAAAATCTATTTCAACGATGTAATTTCGATGGAAAAATTCTTATAAAAAAATAGATTTGCTCTGATTGATTTATTTATGAATTTGCATATAATTGTAAATACTTTTATTTACTTTTGCTTCAGCTTATCAATACGATCGCGAAACTTTGTCATCATGGCTTTTTCGAAAATCGTAATAGCCAGGTGTGAAGTATCCGTGGAAAGAACGTGCCTCTATACTATAAAATACACGAAAAATTTTGTCGGACGTCAATATCGACGACTACCGAATCCCGAGATCTAAAAGCGTCTTCCTGTTGTCTGGAAGATAACATCGCTCGAGGCTTCGAAGTCCGTCGGCGATATCAGAAAGGATAGAACACATCCTCACAAGTTGGTAGCCTTAGTGGGTTGAGAATAGTAGACTTTGCACTTGAAACTTTGCACTCTGCCATCGCCTTGACATTTAGTCAACCCTAATGGCGCACTCTTCGGATTAAACTTTAAATACCTTCCGCTGAATTAAGAACGTCATCATTCCTAAAGGTCTCAGATCAAGTAAGCTTACTCGGATAGCATGGAAGGAGATTGAGAGAATAGACAGAAAATGAAAAGTCTCAGCGTCAGATATTTTTTCCGTGCTCATTGAAGCGATTGATATCACATTTCAATTTTTATGCAATTTTTCACAGTCTTTGTCAAATAATTTGCTAATATATGGATTTTCGAAATGGAAAGATGTAGAAGCTTGAACTTGTTATTCTTTTCTTAATGAAAATAATGAATTTCTTTCCGTATTATCTTTTTACGATTTACTTGTTGCATTGAAAAGTGCTAGATTCAATAACTGGTTGCATGATTTATGGTAGACTCCGTGCAATCTTATGAAAATTCTTAAGAATTGACATTTCCGTTTCTTTTTTTCACACTGATCTTGAAAAGTATTTTAAAATATACCTTAAGTAGGTATACAGGTACCTGTCGCAGGTACACACAACATTCCAAAGAAGATATGCGACTAGTACACAGACGCTCGCTGCAAGAAATAGAGATATATAAAATATAAGAAAAAGTTACTTAAATCTAGGTACTTTACATCACCAGACACATACGGCACAAGTCCGGGAGTCTAAGTCGGCGATCGAGTGGCACGTCATGTCGCGCTGATGGCAGGTCAAAGAACGCGAATCGCAAACTCACGCGTTACATGTGGCGCTGGGTTCTCCCAAGTGGCGTTCTCAGTCGAAGCAGAATAAAAAGAACAAGCCAGAGCCGTTGAAAAGATTGCGAGAGGAACAGAGAGAGAGAGAGAGAGAGAGAGAAGAGAAAGCGACGGATAGAATGAAAGAGACCAAGCGAAAAAGATAGAAAAAGAGAGATCGAGGGAAA